ACTTCATTCATTCTTATCATAACTGCTTTATGTTTTAATGACTTCCAGTGATTGATGACATTGTGCCTGGATTTTCCCTCACCACTAATGATCCTTTGTTATTTTTCTCTCAGTCCTTCCTTGTCAATTTCCTAAAGTGCCACTATTTTCCTCTCAGTATTGTGAAAGGAGAGAGAAGTTGTACAGTGCATCTTAAAATGATAGAATGAGGCAGAACAAATATAGCACTGTTGACATATTACTAGGGTAAGTTCCACCTAGGTGGACATGTCAGGATTGAACAGGAACACAAGAAGCTCATTCCACTGAAATTCTATGAGGGCACAAGGCACAATGCCAGATGTCAAGCAATCAATATCAAAAGCAGCCAACAACAATGTAAAAAGATTTGGAAAAGTACAGTGATTGGTACAGTCACAAAAATACAAACTTTTAACACAAGCATCATGTCTGTCCTGCTTAATGCAGCAGAATCACAGAAATCTACAACAAAAATTAAGAAGATAAATTCATTCCAAAATAAATGCCCACAAAAGATTTTCAGTCCATTAGGAAAAAAGTTTCTAAGTAACGCAAACCCACCTAACACATCAAATATGGTAAGTTGATAATGATGAGCATATCTGATGCCACCGGCACAACTTCCACAGCAAGTGGAGGGAAACCTAGAGAAACATTATACAGAATAATAGAGAAAGAAGCCCAGTCCATCAGTATTACTCTCAGAAGCCTGCACAGACTAGCACATGACCAAACTAACTGGCTGAAGTTGATGAATGTCCCATGCATCTTAAAGGAGAAAGATTAGTGGATAATACACAAATAGAACTCCATGGATAAAATCTATTTAAATCATGGTACCAGTAAATCAGGGAATATTAAAAAGGTAAGAAGTAAGGAGAATATGTATCTACTAAAATGGATATTATTTATCACTTCAGTCCTTCTCCAAAATAAATCTTGTTAAAATGAACTGTGGAGAAGAGAGCTTGTAACAACAGGTTCTAAAGAAACTTCTCTGTTTGATCTCAGATGCTTTAGTCTTCTTGCTCAGTTTCCTCTCCCTCTCAGAATTTTTTTCAGAATATATCAATTAAAAATCTCATAAAATGTTTCACAGATAGGGTATGTCTAGACTACATGGCTCCATTGACGGAGCCATATAAACTAGTTTACTTGACATAAGCAAAGAAGCGGGGATTTAAATAATCGCCGCTTTATTAAAATAAACATGGCCGCCGCTATGCAGAAGATCAGCTGATCCGGCACAGCACAGTAGTCTAGACGTGAATCGGTTGGCTGGGGAAGCCTTTGCCGACCGATCCCTTATGCAACTGTTTTGGTATTTTTAATAATGGTCCTGTTTTTCATTATGGGAGTGCGATTTTAATTATAATTCCCATCAGGGGTCTAGTAAGTAGGATTGAAGAACTCTGGTTTTCCAATATAAAATATTTAGAAAATATTTTTGGATTATAATCTAATTAAAGATTAGTCAGGAACTGAGATGGATTTAGATACCACAGTGAAGCGATTTAAAAAGAAAAATGCACAAAACTTAGCTTACCATAACTTTAAAGCTCTCCAATAATCAGTTTTCCATACCTGAAATCTAATTGTTCCACTAATACTTTGAATCAGCAAATAGGAAAGACAGTAGCATTGTTTCATTTTTAACTGAGCCTTTAATTATATATAAAACACATGATTTTTCCCTTTATGTAATTATAGTCAGTTGTTAGAATATTTTCTGGCTTCCACTACCAGCATCTTTTAATGCTAAAATCAGATAGCATGATTAAATGGAAAATATCAAGATAATACCTTAGGAATTCACTGATAGACTGGATAATAGTTCAAGGCATCTTAGTAGTAGTGGTGCAGAGGAGAGGCTGTGTTTATGTTATTCACAAATTGAAAGCTGTGTGAACTTTCTGTAGGTTCAAAAGACAAAACTTTCATAACAGTATAGGGCACTAACCAGCAAAACAGAAGAAAGATTAATTTATGTATATAATTACCTGCAGAAGTCTGATTAACAAGTGACTGGGCACAGACTATTGGAAAAATGCATCTTTTGTAAATGATTTTAACATGGGTAATTCCTGAGTTTTGCTTTACTGACTAAAAGCTGGGCACTAACTTAGTCTGCTGTAAATTATATTGCAAACACAAAATGGATAGCAACCAGGCCTTAACATACAAGTTTAAGATAAATGTGTAGAAGATGAAAGTACCCTGATTATACTGAGGTAGGGTTTTTTTGTTTGTTTGTTTTGTCTTTGGTTTGTTTTTTTGTTTAGTGAAGTTTATCATTTCAGTGAGCTGGGTTGTTCTGTGATATGTGTGAATCACACTAAAGGTTTAATATCTCTTTAGCAATCAATAGGTAACAGTATCCTTTCCTCAAACTATGTTCAGCTTTTGCAAGTGTCATAATGTGCAATGTTTTTATCACGGTTCATTGTTTTATATGTTGTCATCACTCAATAAATTGCTATGGAGATTCTCTGAAAGCCATCTTAACTGACTTCTGTAGCTTAGGAAACTCTCCTATTCATTCAATTAAGCGTTTAATTAAAGATTTTACATTTTCTGAACTTCCTCCAGCCCGGATAGTATTATTCCAAAAATAGCCTTTTGCATAGTGCATGGCGGAAGGTCTGGGGGGAGTTGGAATCATGTATACTCTTCATACAGCTCTTGTCATTTAAAAAGAAAAGAAAAGAAAAGAAAAGAAAAGAAAACCTGGTATTACTTACATTCATGGTGATTGAGATTATTCTCTATCCTTCTATGCTTCTCTATGCTTCTCAGATTAATTTCTATCCTTTCCTTCTGATAAAGTTAGTGGACTATTTAAATAGTTTGGCATGCCAATTAAAAACAAAAGATAGCTAACTGCAGAATGAATCCACTGTGGGATGAATATATCACAGACTGGGACAATGTACACATTACAGCTTGAATCAGCATATGTTGCTCAGGGATGCAAATAAGACATACTCTTGGGTGACATAAGTATCAGTGTGGCTAAAATATGTTGCCAAGAGAGTTTCTCTCACTGTGGCCAGGTCTACACTAGACCCAGAAGCTTGGCTTACAGTATACAAGCTATGTACCTTAAGCCAAGCTTGGTGCTGTCCCCACAATGGGAGGCTGATGGGAGCAAACACTCCCATTGGCTTCCCTTATTCCTCACAAGAGCAGGAGTACTAGCCACCAGCGGGGGCACTCTCTGAGTTTGACTTATCAAGTCTTAATTAGACTCTCTAAATCGAATGCCAGAAAATCATTTGTGGCACCGTTGATCTACTCCAAAGTGAAGACAAGACCTGACATAGCTACCGTTACATGTGCAGGCTGGAGTAGCTAAGTCAACAGGAAGGCTCTGTCTTGTCAGCTTGGAGAATCTGCACTGGCAGCTCTAAAGTGGCACAGCTGCATTGGGGGGAAGTTGTATCCCAATTGAAGTCAATGGGAGTTTTGATTTCAGGGGGCCAGTATTTCACCCAGAGTTGCAGTCATGTATCATTGTTTTTTCCCTTCTTCATCCTGAACCATGGTATTTATGGTAAACGCTGCTGTAGCTCTACATTTTGTTATTCAAAGACAGAATTTCATATATTTTCTCTTGAATCTATTTCAGTGCAACCAGCAAATCTCTTTGAAAAGAGCACCACAGTCTTTGTCATTTATAGTCACATGTTTCCCTTCTACAACCAAAATAGCACACATACAACCTGATTGGGGGAGAAGAGAACTTTTTAATGAAGATCCATTAGAACCAACTAGTGTAATAAGTAGAATTCATTCTGTTGTATAATATGTATGGTCAATGCAAATTCAACCCACATTCTTGCAGCCCACTTTGCATATTGTAGTACACTGAGAGTCTGAGTGGCTCACGCAAATGACAAACATACATTAATCTAATTTTCCGACCAGATAGTACTTGAAATGTGAAAAAATCCATGCAACGGACCAAAAAGATGATGGAAAATACCTTAATATGTGAATTATTGGACACACCACTGGTTATATGGATATTTTCACACATTGGGTATCGTCCTTTTGTCAGTTTAACGCTACTTTTCTTCCACGTGTCCATTGGCATGGCACTTTAAATTTGGTTTAAATTATAATGGATTTCTTAGTGTAAGCTAAGATTTAAATAATGTATCTTCACATTATTTCCTTTTATTTATATCTGTTTATCAAATGTGTCTCCTACATCATGGCATGTCACATACAATAAATTGCTTTATATCTCACCGCAATATGAATTTATATATATACATGTAACAGAACTGACATATTCCAGTCAAAATATTGCTACAGATATTACTGCAGATCTGATACCTAAGCTTGTAAATAAACTAGTGAATCACAAAGTATCCCTGAGATCAGTTGCTGTCATCTGACATTAAAGAACACAAATCCATGTAAGATATTCTCTTAGTGCACAATTAAAAGTTTTGAAAGTAGTAAAATTTTATATATATTAGTTTCATTGATAAAAGATGTAAAATAAATATTTTAAAATCCATAAAAGAAGACAATTGCAATAGCCTGAAGCTATGCGTGTCAGATCTAAAATGGCAGCATAGCAACTACAAGGAGTTACTGCCCAACTCTGTAAATTCAGATTGTACCTGGGTTTCACATGCCAAAATCATTTTTTTATTTAAGTGGTTTACCTACAGAAGTACCGTAGGCTGCTTGTCTGCAGATAATTAGCATATTAGTGTCTCTATATAAATGGGCAAAAAATCTGAAATGTTTACCACAGGAAAAAAATTGATGGTTTTCCAATATATTACTCAGAGGCTAAGTAAGAATCAACACCTCATCAGGATTATTCTGATTATACACACAGCCCTTTCAAAAAAGATCCTTATATGTTGGTGTTGACTTACATCAGTTGACAATATGGTCTCATATGCATCCCTCTGCCCCTCAAAAGAAAGGGGAAAAATCCAAAATAAGAGCTGACCTACCATTTTCTTCCAGGTAGATCAGAAGGATGCAGTTGGATTCCGTCCCTTCAATGGCATAATCAAGAGCAATGTTTCCATTAACATCCTGCAGCAGCACATTGGCCCCAGCCTAAAAGCAAGAATGAAGAACGTTTTATATCTTTATATCTAATAGCTACAGGGAAAAAATTGCAAAAGTTGTGATTATAAAGGTATTAGGCCCAATTTACTGCTTTTATAAGGACCTATGTTAGATGCAGAGGGCTTCAACAGTTTCCAGAACTATTCATTCAAATTTGTTTTGTTCTGAACAGCATTTCATTTCACATTGTAGGTTCCTTTGAAATGACACTCCACATGAAAAGTGAAGACAAAAACAAAACAAGCAAAACCCAGAGTTTTCACGAGGTTTTAACAATGAAAGTGAGGTTGATGGTTTCCAGGGCAATCCCTGAAGTGCCCATGTCTATGTTACTACAAATCCTACTCAAAATTTATCATTGCTTAAAAGCAGTCCAGGACTGACTATTTTTGGAGATGGGAGAAGTGTGAGGAGAAAATTATGCCAGAACTATCAAGCCATACACTTCCTAGGATATAAGAACTGTGGAAAAATTTCATGTTCTCTGTGTTAAGGAGGATGAATCACAAGTTGTAATATGATGGCCAGGCTAGCCCTATTTTTACAAGAAATCTGTCCTATTCCATGCAAAAATATATAACTCTATTACTGAGGAAAGCCTGAATGCAGTAAAAGGTCATGCATTTTCTTTTAAAAAAACATGACTTGTATTCAGTTTAAGTATTTCTCCCTGTGGCTTCATATCAAAAGCAATTCCAAAAGAAGAATAAGTTCTATTGAATATAATTACTTTTCCTTGCAGCTTTCATAGAGTTTTAAGGCCAGAAGGGGCCATTAAATCATTCAGTCTGTCCTTTTGTAGAGCACAGACCACAGAACTTCACCCAGATAGCCCTCTAGTTAGCTCAATTACTTTAGTAAGACTAAAACATTTCAATCCTCAGGAAACTAAATGAGCATGTGCCACAGGCAGAGAAAAGGAGAGGCCAAGATGCCACCAATCCCTGAGCCCCTACAATGGTAGGGAATTGATTAGGTGAGACGCAGCTAAATGAGGCTAGCAAGCAATCCTTACCCCATTCTGCAGAGGGAAAAGACCCTGTCCATTTACTGAAGATTGCTGCCAAATTGACCTGAGGGAAAATTCCTTCTTGACTCCAAATGTGGTAATAAATTTGACTCTGAGCAAGACATACCACCCAGGCCTCGAAGAAAGAGGATTTTCTGCACCACCTGAGAGCACTAGCGTGCCCTGTTCTATTTCTAGCCATAGCCAATCCCTGATGTGTCAGAGAAAGACAAACATAAAAAAAGCCAATACCACCAGAATACATCTGGTCAATTGTGCATCAAGGGGAAAAAGTCCTTTCTTATCCCTACACATGACCAGCTGAAGCCTGGGTGATAAGGGTGTGGCTTACACTTACTCTTAAAGCAATGTCTATAAATTAAGGATAACCTCTTTTAAAACCTGAGTGGCACAGGATCACTAATAAAGAAAGATTATTATTAGCAGGGCTTGACAAGCGGCAGCGAGCCCCACTCGCCAGCCGCGTGGTTTGTCACACTGCGCGTGCGCAGACCACGCTGCCCATGCACTGATCACACTGCGGCGCTGTGCCGGGCTAAAATCTACTCACCACGGGTGAATAGATTGCCCTAATTGTCGAGCCCTGATTATTAGTAGAAAACAACTTGTGCTCTGAGGAGTTTAAATGCAAAGGACCTGATCCAATGCCCACTGTGTCAATGGGAAAAAAACAACAGTGACTTCAATAAGCATTGGGGCTCAGCTTCTGGTTTAGGGTAACAGTAATCTAAAGGTGTGTCTACACAGCAAAGTTATTTCAGAATAACAGCTGTTATTCTGAAATAACTGAGGGTATGTCTACACTAGCCACCCTAGTTCGGACTAGGGTGGCTAATGTAGTCATTTGAACTTGCAAATGAAGCCCGGGATTTAAATATCCGGGCTTCATTTGCATGTTCCCGGGCGCCGCCATTTTTAAATGCCCAGGAGGAAGAGTACAGGAGGAGTAACGGTAGTTTGAAATACAGGAGCTTTAGTTCGAACTACCTAGTCTGTGTCACATGTAGCCACGGGCACGTAGTTCGAACTACCAGGCATTTAAAAATGGCGGCGCCCGGGAACATGCAAATGAAGCCCGGATATTTAAATCCCGGGCTTCATTTGCAAGTTCGAATGACTACATTAGCCACCCTACTCCAAACTAGGGCGGCTAGTGTAGACATACCCTATGGAAGCATCTACACAGCAATTATGTTATTTTGAAATAATTTCAAAATAATGGACGGTTTATTCCGAATTCTGTAAACCTCATTCTATGAAGAATAATGCCTATTCCAAAATAGTTAGTTCAGAATAGGGGCTATATAGACACTCCACTCTGCTATTTTGAAATAGCCCCTCACCAAGGACATTCTAAGTTATTCCTCCTGGGGCTCTAAATCAAGACAGCACATCTACACTAGGAAAGCCTGCCTCAGATTAATGTTGAGGCTTCTCTGCAGTGTAGATATGCTATTTCAAAATAAGCCATTTCAGAATAACTATTCTGGAATAGGTTGTTATGCAATAACTGCGCTGTATAGATGTAGCCGAAGGGTACGTCTAAACTACATGCCTCTGTCGGCAGAGGCATGTAGATTTGTTTGTTCAGCAAAGGCAAATGAAGCCGCGATTTAAATGATCGCGGCTTCATTTACATTTACATGGCTGCCGCGCTGAGCCGACAAACAGCTCGCGTGCTAGTCTGGACGTTCCCCCTGTCGACATCAAAGCCCTTTGTCGGCAGCCCCGGTAAACCTCATTCCACGAGGAATAACGGGGCTGCCGACAAAGGGCTTTGATGTTGACAGGGGGAACGTCCAGACTAGTGCGCGAGCCGACAAACAGCTGATCAGCTGTTTTTCGGCTCAGCGCGGCAGCCATGTAAATGTAAATGAAGCCGCGATCATTGAAATTGCAGCTTCATTTGCCTTTGCCTATGTATCTAACCACATGCCTCTGCTGACAGACGCATGTAGTCTAGACACAGCCTAAGTGAACAGGAATGTTTTGTGCATTTTATACATTGATTCCATTAAAATACATACTTCTATTAAACTGTCCCAAAAGTGTGAATCAGTATTAGACAGATAAGGAAAATTAATTTTGGGAATGAATTTGAAGAAGAGGATTATTTAAAAAGATTGTCTCGGATAGTTACCCATGTTTATTTTACTGCACTTGCTTTGTTTTACAGAATAATTTTTATATAGCACATTTGTATTGTTTGGATTATGATTTATTTTGTTTTTCTATAGAAATCATGCAAACATTCTTATATAAAGGGCTTATTTACTAAAAGCACAATTTAAAACCTAAAAGTACATGTCTTTTCCTGCATGAAACAAATCTTCAATTCTCAGGCAATTTTTAGGAAAAAAACCCCATTCACTTATATATGTTTTCTTCTTCACTAGAGCTAAGAAATCAACATTCCTCCTACACTTTACAAATTAGGAAATGAAGGGCATTTAAATTAATCTGCAGAACCTACTTCATTCTCTTTGGAAAGTGTCATTTTATAGAGGAAGGATATAACATGGAATTCCTCAGATCCCATCATTTTAAGGGACATTTATTTTAAAAATGTTTATGAGGACCCAGTCAGAAACAGGAGATCTAACTTGCTCAAACTTGCAGTTACTAGACAGATAAGAGATGCTTCTGAACTTGGATAATGAAGTAATTCTGAACAGCAGTGCACATTTTTTAAATAAGAATTTGACCCAGACATACATTTTAAAAGTATTTAGATTATTGAACAAGGGACCTGTTTAATATAAAAATTTGTATATCCTGGTATCATCCGTCTGATTAGCTACCATGATTTTGTAATGTAACAGCACTATCAGTTAGTTCAGAGGAACAAGGAAGGGGAAAGAAGGAAAGAGGTGGGGAGACCAAGAGAAGCCTCAGTTACTGTTTCCATGGTTATTCTGATTGCTGCAGACCAATAAGGATGCATCTATTAAAATTAGATTTAACAGTGGAAGGTTCTGCAATGCAGTTTTCCAGCTAAAGGCCAGAAAAAAAAATTACTTGTTGCAGTTTTCTAGACAATATTTTTCTGTTTCTTTCAATAATCATAAATTATGAGCATTTTCAATTTTTGTAAAAAATAAACCTACAAAGCACCTACTCTCATTCCTGAGTCCATTCCTGCAACTGATTCCTCCAGCTTATATCCTTATGCCAGTGCACAGGCACATTAATTAGCAAATCTGATTGAGGGAACAACTTTAAGTGGGGCTCTGCATTGGCACAGAAGTCTGTGCTAGCAGCTCCAATAGCAGGTTCAGTGTCTTAGATGATAACCTCTTCAGGACACCTATCTCATATTCCCTTTTTTTTCTGGTGTTGCCAACAAAAGAAGTCAATTAGCTATTTGGGTGCATCTACACTGAACCCTTAGCTCAAAATAAGCTATACAATTTGAGTTATGCAAATTGTGTAGCCTATTTTGCGTTAATTTCATAATAGCTAATTTCATAATTAGGTACTGTCTACACAGCACCAAATTTTGAAATTAACTGCTATTTTGAAACGTGCCTTAATCCTCATGGAATTAGGTTTACCGGGATGTCGGAAAAGCATGCCCATTATTTTGAAAGCTATTACAAAATGACAGACCCTCTGTCAAGACACAAAATAGCTAATTTGGGATACCGGAAGTATCCCAAAATAGCACCGCAGTGTAGATGTACCCTAACTGTATTTCTTTAAGATGGGTTGTGCACATACACATTCCACTGCAGGTGTTTGTGTGTCCAAAGCACCTGAGTCAGACTTTTGCCAGTGGTACTGCTAGCCGTTCCATGTGCCTCTGTTCTCCTTATGTTCTAGGTGAGTGCATTAAAGGGAGCTACCTACTTCACTCTCCCTTCACACTGTTGCATGCAACATCCAAAGTAGTAGAGAAGGTAAGAGCATCATGTTATATATACTCACAACACATCTTAAAGGACAGTGGTAATACCTT